CTGTTCACTATGTTAAAAGCCGCAGATTTTATGTTCAGATACAGACGAAGCAACGATCGATAGAATGTCCTTGTACTAGTCAAAACATTTCATGTTTATCTCGTGTTCATACCTGTTATTTAGGCCTATTTTATCGGCTTTCAGTTCCAATTACAGTTTTCTTGACGGTTTAAATATAATATTAGTCTCCAAATAATACGTGCAGACCATCATTCACGTGTAGATCACGACGATAAAACTTTGCAGAAGATGCCTAACAGATTGCATTCTAGGTGTTAACAACTGAAACTTGAAGTACATCATGTTAAAACAAACTGCGTGCACCATTTAACGAGGTTTATTTATCGAATGTTTGCCATTATCTTTTTTTTTTTAAACTGAAATAGATCTGTTGCATCATTACTTGGATTTGACCTAGATTTACATGGCGAATGTTGTCGATGGAATTAAAACGCTTAATCTTCCGGAACATCTGGTTTCATTTCCCTTGTACATTTTTAGCTATATCGATTTTTAGTTCGAATTACGCTTTTGCTGAAACTTCGGTGTTCTCTCTTTTCCTAATGTATCTAATAATTGCTTGTTTATCCTTTTACTTGACAGGTTTTTAATGTTCGATTGACGTGGTAGCGATATTCTCCATTAAAAAAAAATGCTTTTTTTGTCGTTCTTATAATGATAATTGTAATGGTGTCTCATCAATTTTTATGAGTTTTAAAAATGTTTCTGGTATCGTCTTCATCAGTACAATATTAACAACTTTCGTTGCCTTGTATATGAATAATTCTAAATGACAGTATATTGATGTTTTGCTATCCATAGTGAATTTAAACGTTGAATTGATATTTAAGAGAAAATGTTGAAAATAAATGTCTGTTCTATACTGGGTTTTCACACATCCTAGCCGTGGGTTACTTTAATAAGTTCTGTAAATACGATCCATCTGTTAACTCTACTGTGCTAGACGATATCATACACATCCTAAACCACATCTTGGAAGCTTCATTGGCGATGTTTAAACACCGCAACTGCACTTACTTGACAGTTCAATTTCATGATGTTGATATAAATTTCATTTTACATTTCCCTTCTGTATATAACATTGTAAGGATTCATTTTTCTCAACTACACATACATCTAGCTTTATATCATGAATTTTCTGTACTGTCTTTTAACCCGACTTCCCATAAGATGTTTCCAAAACAGCCGAACTGCCTCATGGGAGGTGAGGTTTGCAGTTATTGCCTTATATTTAAACAATAACCGACTTTGATCTCAGTATTTTAATTTCACAATGCAATTGCTTTCTGCAGTGTTTGTTTGAGTCTGACATTTATCGAACATCTTAGTTTAATATACCTCATCTATCACATAATTGGATATTGATAACTACGAAATTGGTTTTGATAGCTTGATGTTATGAGGTCTGTTAAAGTCGGATCTGCAGAGTTTTTTTGGTACTGTAATAACAGACGACCCACCAGAATATATTCTACAAAACGAAGCACGCCTTCTTAGACTTGTGGTTGCGTGTTCACAGTGTATTTCATCGATAGTGTCATGTAAATTTGTCAATTGAGTTTTACATTTCTTCGCTCCATTGGGGTTAAGGTTCAAATTTATAATCACATAACGATAGAACGTGAATAATCAATGAAAATGTCATGCTCTAAAGTACACATACACTAACATGTATTTGACCTCCCGCCTTAACATTTTGAGAGAAGGAATGCGCTGTATTACGAAGTCACAATCAAAATTGTACTCGTAACACGAATTTCGGATTGGTCGGTTCAGTGTGAAAATAACGAAACGACTTCTTTGTCATAGTAATTATAAATTTCAATTTTATTTTCGCCTTATATTTCACTATTAAAAATGTTATAAATGAATAGGAAATTGAGTTTGATACATGTAGATTTGTAATAACATTTAACATATATGTTTATTTGGAGTTCAGAATATTTGTCAAAATCAACATGAATGAACACGAGAACATTACAAACGCTGTCTCAAACCCCGTTTTCCTTACTTTATAGCTTACTTGACCACTCCACTCCATCTGAAACATTTTCTATACCCAATATTTATACAAAACTGACACTCTTAGGTCTTATACTAGCTTAGTTATACCCTAGAACTAATCCATTAAGCCCAATAGATACAGGTTCATGATCATATACTCGAGATCGGCCAGCTGGAAACCCTTCTCTCACTTTATTAATTATTAATCATACCAATTCACCTAAACGCTACCAACCTGACGCTGTAACGCGAAATAAGATCGACGAAAGATCGGAGGCTTCAAGTTCTCAAAGCTGCGGAGTTCCACGGACTATGCTATCGGACAAGGTATTGCAAATAAATATATAGTAATATATCTATACAAAACATTCTATATCGCGAACAAATGTCTATAACTGACCCCGAATATCTCAGACACTTGACTATACTGGATCCTGCATACTTCTGACATAGGGTCATGCCAAACTCTTTATATTCCGGATATACGATGCATTTCTGTATCTATATGTGCGTAATCCAGTCATGATTATATCAAATTCTGTATATTATAGTCTTAAATTATGTCTGTTTATAACTCTGCGTAGTCTGTTCATGTGTATATACCGGACTATCTTTACTTCGGAAAAAATGTCTATACAGAACCCCGTGTACATCGGACAAATATATACAGAACCATATATATTCCGAACCGTTGTCAGTCTCGAACTTTATTTTATACCTTTGACACATTCAGAAGAGACAATTTTATATATTCCCGACTTCCGGTTAATTGTTTGTGTCTAACTTGTCATTATCAGGACATAAGTACTTATACTAAACCGTGTATACTCCAGACAAATTTCTTATAACTTATGCATAGACCAAATTCTGTATTACTTTGAATGGTTCGACTCATAAGTTGCAAAATAACAAAGGTGCGATATTTACAGTACGTAATACAAAATTAACAATACACAACATTACACACACTCGCAACACAATTACAAGTTTGGCGAGTGCAACTATAGCTATTTATAATTTTTGTTTTTTCTCGAATTTTAAATTTGTATGTATTTCCCCTAAGCCCAAAAACACATGACTTTAAAGGAACACTACGGACCCCTTGTTTATGACGAACCATTTATACACCGGACAAATGCCTATACAGAACTCTGTTTACATTTAACACGTAGTATGTTTATGAAGGTTTGTATAATCTAGACACCTCATAGACATTTATGCGAAGAACATAAATGTATGTTTGGTATAGCGTGATTTGATTAGAATTATTTGTGTTTGACGTTCTATTAACAGTTAAGATGATTTAAGTAGTAATATATGAAACATGCTGTATGTCCCAATGCCTTATGCATACATATGTGTATTCCGAACGAAACTATAACATTTCCTCGCTATGTTCATTAATAAACAGGTTTTACTGAACATTCTTTACACAGCCAAAGTACATAGTATTGTCATATATATGAAACAAGTTATTTCATCTTTTATTAATCACTTTTGTAGGCCCGGATGCTAGCGCATGGGGGTCTTAATGTGGGAGAAAACCGTTTTCCCGGAGTAGCCGGAGAAAATACACTTGTTTGCGAGGTGAACTAATGGAACCCAGGCCGCCTTGGTGAAAGGCGAGTGCGTTATCCACTGCGCCTACAGTTTTAGTGTCATAAGTTCATAAGGCTGTGTACAAACAGAAGGCTGTCATCCTGGCAAAACTTCAAGTTCGTAAATGAAATAAGTACAAAACAAAATCTAACGCCTGTGTATGCATGGTAAATACGATCCAACAATTAAGTGATAGCATCGCTAATATATATATATATTTATATAGCCGCTACTCTTATCTCGGTCCGGTCATCTGGAAGCCTCAAGGTCTTACCCATACCCGTTACATGTAGATCCTGCGACAGTCAGGTCACCCAGTATCCCCGGGGGTTGGTATGGGGTCGAGTATCGATAAGGAGTATATATGGAAAATTGCTATAGTACTTAGTCTATAAACTTCAATTCACCTGGTCCGTATTCCCGTTAGGCCACTTTTATTGTTCCGACATTGCGGTTCAGACTCCTTTGTAAAACTGTGTGAACCTCTGTTGAATACATCTGCAAGATCGTTGGCGTTCGCAAAGTGTTCGTTCGACTTGCTGAGACGGGACACGCAGAGCTAAACCTTTTTTTTTGTGTAAATGTACATGTATATCGAATACCGCTTTCTGACTTCCACACATCATCCTTATGGAATTTTCATGACCTATAGGGTTTTGCAACATACACCAACAAATTGAGCAACTGGAAAGGTTAAAACGAGCAGTTATTTTGCTAATCTTTGTGTTTTGTAATGAGATTTTAAACGGAGTAACCAACTTGAAAAAACCCGCAATTTAGTCATTAATTCAAACTTTTAAGATATGAATTTTGAAATCTCCATTATAATTATTTCTCTCCTCGAAGAGCTACAAACAAAACACCAAAATGACTATTTTTGGAAACATCATTTTTGTTCAAGTCAGTTGTCTAATCGTAACGGGTTATATGTAAACAAAAATGTAAATTTACCAAAACAAACTTATGCTGAACTTTTGAAAAACATCTGCTTATTTTGTTTTGACCAAACAAATGAATTTTCGAAAAATGAATTCAAAACATATTGTAGCTTATCTATACTTTGCTATTGGAAATGTCGTCACAATCTTAGATATATTTTGGTATGTGAATTAAAACCTCTTTTTCATAATCTATGGTCTAAAATTAATAAAAAAAATGATATTACATTAAGACTCAGTCTACCAAAATCCAACCTCTTTTTCGATTTTCATGATCACGATAAAATTCATTCATATAATTATCAGCTCATTACCGTGCGATCAACGGCCAATGTTATGTGGAATATTGCATTTTGAGGAATTGTTTTCATACAAAACCACATCGACAACAGGTCTGAAATAAAGGGATAACACATTGACTTATTAAATTATTCTTACCTGCCAGTAGAAATTTAATCCGGATTTTGTTATATCAGTTCCGTTTTTGCATGCTTCCGGAAGTGACGTATTCCACAACTGTGTAGTGTTCAACATGTAAGAAACAGAGGCTGTTTCATGATTACTGTCAACAAAAGATACCATCGGGCTTGCTATTGTCGAAAACATTATTAAAGTTTCCAAACTTCAAATGGAATCAGATCACACGTCAACAGATTTCAATCGTTAATGACGAATCAGTCTTCATGTTCATTTTTATCTCGCGATAATTCACAAAATCAGTTTCTTTAATTTCCAACTGTTGCTTCGTAAGGACTCATTAGACTCGAACCTGATTTAGAATATTCCTTGTCTTTTTCAGTGAATTTCTGTTTGACGAAAACAGTGCTTATCTCAGGGTATTTTATGTGTCTGAGTTTAGAAGAAAAAGTAGAAGGAACATCATTAAAATTGCCGTTATCCTTGAGAAATAAATGAACTTGACAAAACCTTTGTCAGCAAATCAGCCACTGCAATAGGGATGTTTATTATCTGAAGTCTTTACACCTCACATCCTTTACTTCTGTGAAACTATCACACTTGAAACCGATGAAGGTCATTTTCACAATCACTTGAAATGCCGTCTCCGAAATTAAACGTGTTCTCCTCCAATCAACAGCTAAAATAAGAACGGTATATTAGCTGTTTCATTTTGGAATAGAAATCATACGTGCCACGTTTCGCAATTGAAGTTTTTTTTTTCTTTAAGGCGGAAATGAAGTTTTCCAAGTGATGTTTACGGTCTTCCTCGGGTCTAGCGTTCTGAACTTAGGACACTGTAGAACTTACTCATATAACCAAGAAACATAAGTTATTATAATTCCTCTGATGATATTAGCTTTACATTAATCACTTATTCATTATGGACATTTCAAATTATACTGCGCGTAAAATCAATAATAAAGTTCGACGTATTTCAGCCTGCACATAACTAACTTTAATATAATAAAACTGTCTGTGTAGCTCTCTCATTCGAATCTTTTTCATTTCAATGAACCAAGTTTCAAAAATAAATCATCTTATTCTACAACGTCTGTTTTGAGCTGTTTAGCGTTTTCCGTAAATTATCCAAGATAATTACTTCCAACAATAGTAGAAAACATATTACTCACATTACTAAAACATACACGCGCGTGAATTTGTTTGAGAAAATATGATTTCACACGATCTAAAGTCTTAAATTAAACATACAACCTAATTCTGAACAGTAATCCGTAGCAATCCCAACAGACGAGTTGAACTTTTTGTTGGACGGTTCGTTCTGATCAGATCGTGGTAGTAGTATGGCAATGCTGTCGGTCTCCCGCAGTATAATGCTCCCTGCCCATACACACGGCCTTGTTACCAACACGTGAACCATATAAAATCAATAAGATGACTTCCTCGGGCTGATTGCCTCCTAGGCCTATTTTCACTTTCCTTATATTAAATACGGCACTCTATGAAGCAGCCCTGCCATTACATGCAATCGTGTGAAAGACCAGGAATTGGTGGGGAATCTTATTCAATTAGAAGTTTCATGATAGATGCTAATTTGCTGCAGACAACTCTGTATTGAAAGCCTTTACGTGGTCGAGAAACTAGTTTATATCCATTTGGTTTGTAATTCCAAAACGCCTCAGGACGCTCTCACCGAGCCTCGGATTATTTCCCGAAGTGCTTAACTTAGAATAATTGTAGAACTTTTTCACCAACGGGTAAAACTTAGACCACTACACAAAGATTGACAATAAAGAACGTAGATCTTTGTTTAAATCTCCTATTATCTTAACTGATAAAATTATCACTGCAAGAGTATTTCGCAGGCTCTGCGTTTTCCTTTTTAAAAGGCCATTTAAGATGTGGTATTTAGAAAAATCATCATTCGCCTATTGAATGAGCTGATAAGACAAAATTTAGGGGCACCTGCGACGCCTAGATATAGATGCATATTGCTAAATTCAGCGACGTGTCAAAACAGTTGTCTCACGAGCTATCCATATATATATATATATCAACCATTTCATTATATAAAAAATACGGCTCATGGCTTGGCCTTTCCGCCATCGTGGGATTCTCCTTGCGGACAAATTTACATATTGATATATACGTGAATACATTGCTCCAAAGGTTGGTCAGCATGTTATGTGTTTGCGGATATCCTCGTAACATTAAATATTGATGTGTGAGCACGAATCTATAAAAATTCTTAGCTATTTATCGACGATCGGATGTTAAGGTACATTTGTAAATTAGACTAATGGTTTTAGTATCTCTGATCACGACAAGATAACATTTCGACCTGCACATTCTTTATTTTTGTAATATAGCTAACCAACACATCTAACGGCTGAAGGGTGATTATATTGATTAGTAATGGGTGACAACAGTACATAACATACAATCTTGACTGAATTTTTGCGGAAATAGCCGACGACAAAAATATAAATTAAAAAAAAAAAACAGAAAAAAAAGATTTTTATAGGCATTTATGTAAGGAGAAATATTAGCCCCTTTCCCTCCTAAAATCAACTTTGACCTAGACACTTATTTGAAGACATCTAAGACAAAAATGTTAGTTAAACACGCTTCACTATTACAATCTTCCCAAATATCGGTTAATGACAGGAATGTACTTGATTCCGAATCTTTAAATGAATTCTTATAAACAACGTCTTATCATGTAACTAAGCAATTATCTTACCTCCATTTTTACACGCGTTTAGTCAATGTCAGAGAATTGTTCTGGTGCCGTTCATTCCAGACTTGGATTTCAAGGATCGTGAGTTTTGAAGAGTCTAAAAGATTATTTTTTCAATCTTAAACATCTGATTGTAAACACACCAACTCGAAAGGCCAAGTAAAATAGATGGAGAGTAAAATCGTGAGAGTAAATGTTGCACACTTTGGCATATCGAGCTGTCCCTTGTATATGAGAGGTTATATTTATCTTATACAAACTTTTTGGACGACATAATACAAATATCTTTATATATGAACATAAAAAAGCCATAAAGGTCATACATAACCTCCAATACTTAAAATCAAAGACATAATAAATTCTTCTAAATCAGCCGCCTTTTTCGATCTTCATTTAAAACATGGCAAACAGGGGATGCTTACATTTAAACTGTATGAGAAATGGCTGCTCCCATAGCAACGATGTTTGTGTGTTGTAGAAGATTCTGTATTCCCAGGTTTGCTACGCATATAACAATTCCTGTGCTAGATGTCGAATGATGAATGACACACTTTCAATATAGAGTATCGAGAGATGTGATTTGATAAAAGCTATGGTCAAGTTTTATGATTGCCAAGATATTCTTACTTGGAAATATACAATTTAATGTGATGTGAATATCGTCAGTTTTTTCATGCTCATCCGTTTGCCTTGTGGTGTTGTTGTTACTACTCCGCTTTGAGTTTGAGATTATCTGGATTTGACCTAGATTTACATGGCGTGTGTGGCCGAAAAGGACAAAGACACCTACCCTTCCGAAACAACAGATTTCTTTCCTATTACTTTGAGAACATTCGTTCTTTTGTTCACGTGTTGCCCTAGTTTCATGCATTTTGTGTTCAAATTAGGGTTTTCAAACAAAGAGAATGACGTACAATGTAGAACATGCATCTCATCAAAACGGGGTTCAAGGATATTGTAGAATGCATCTGTGGATATATCCGAAAAAAATATATGTAGTCTATAATATATCGGGCTAACGCTAATGTACTGCAATATATTGTTTTTTTTTGGGTTTTTTTTTTTGGGGGGGGGGGGGGGGTCGAGTTCATTAACGCTATACCTCTAAGTTTGTTCACTATCAAATATTAAAGCGGTAAAAGGGGTTATGTAATTGTTTTGTTTATAAAAACAAATCTGAACTTTCGAAAATGCATCAGAAACCTTTTTTACGAAAGATATCACAGAATTTTTCTAAATTGAAATTGTTAAAAACAACAGTGGTCTAAAACATTTAATAGACCCAGAATTCATAGAAAATTGAAAGCAGCGTACTGGTTTCAATGGTTTACCGGAGAGATATACAGCCGTTCACGTAACTACTTGACACGTACAATATATACATGTGTATCTCTTCAAGTTCAGTCTGTATTACTCAAGGTCCCTTATGACTCTTACCTTCACCATAACGCTCTGGTTAAGTTATTTTTCTGTGGCTCATTCGTCGTCTCCTGGATATAGGATTACCCACAAATCCTTCATTAATGATACACGTGTCGATACTTTCAAACTTCTCAGCATACGATGTATTGTAATTATCCCTAAACTTGTACAGATTGCGGGCCAAGTCGTTTGGCCTCACGCAGTCAAAAGCGTTCTCGTTGTCTAGGAACATGATATAAATTGCAGAATCTGTATCGATATATGCCTTAATGACTTCGCTACTGGTGACGCACATGCACTACCATGACATCTAAACTATAAATAACTAAGAAACATGACATTCCGTCCACATGTCCAAGTTGGATACGAATCCTATTGCTTGCACTGTCGTTGACCTTACTTTCTTAGCCAATGTGAAGGCTTTTGGAGTCGCAAAGATAATTGGATTGACATTATTTTAACAGATAACAAAATGGCAAAACTATATTCACTTAACCTTCACTAGGCTTCATTGTGCAGCACGGTCCTCAAGTCTAAATTGTTTAATGAGTAGTTTTCATGTCAACTAGTACATGCTGTTTGATAGACTGCTCATATTTCAAGCCTAGAGCCTAGCTAAGAAATCCCTAGCGTCTACAATACAAATATTCTGGTATATCCCCCCTCCTGTCATAACCTATATATAGTAACACGCATGTCTTAATATCATGAACATTGTATGAACAAAACTGTCAATAAACTAGCCTAGTACATTCATGTAACAGATAATTAATATCGTACATCATCTATACAACAGCGTATCTGATTGGATAATATTGATCATGTGGCGACGAAAAACAATATCGTATTCTCACACACTTGTGTTTCCCTGGGTTATATTCCCCTCATTCGGAACCTCTCTTGAAAGATTGGAAAGAACACCACACCATGGTTTTATTTGATTGAAACAAACGACAGCAATAAGGCGTCAACCTGACCACCTTTACTGCTGTGTTATTGTTTT